AAACGTTGATTTTTGCGTGAACTACCAGTATGACTACTGACCGCATGTTTATATAACAAGTATTAAAAGTTACATGCAATGGGGAAACTGAACTTCCCACAGCAGAAACAGAATTGTGTTGGACGCACTACATAAAAGTTAAATCAAAACATAACTTATCCTGATAGACGGACGCAAATGAGCATGACTTCCCAATATAATGGAAAAAAGCAGGGGGAAAGCATAAGAGAGGCCTTCCACATAAAATAATGATCTGATAGAGCTCATCTTCAGGGAACAGTCAATAAATTGCACTCTGTCAGTGGTTAAGCTTCCTATTTGGAAAAGTTTGGCTTGGATCAGGACCAAAAGCCACATTTGTCGAACACCCCCATCTAAATGAGACAAAAAGGTCACTGAGATGCAGCGAAACTGATGAAAAGCACAAAACTCAAAACCCATTCCTTGTAAAAGAAAGAAAACATTAATCGAGCCATACCTTGAGCCGCTTTAAGCCAGCGCGGCCGGAGTCATGCATTAGGTCATGAGAGCGCTTCGCACAGGCAGTGAGTGATGGAGAAGAAATAGAGAAAAAGAAGAAGAATAGAAAAAGTCAGAGGGAACAGAGACAGAACAGAGCAAAACAGAACAAACCACGCAAATTGAAAATTGGAAGCAGAGGAAGCGGGGCTAGAGAAAGAGAAAGAGGATGGTAACCATGGATCCAGCGAGACAACAGCGAAACTTCTGAGCAAGAACAGGTTCGGGGCGGAAAAGAGATCCATACGGGATTGGGTCGGGCCGGTAGGGGAAAGGGGGAAGCTTGTGGTGAAAGAGGAAGGGTGGTTTCGAGACATCCCATCATCCCCGGTCAACATGAGCAGAGAGATTGAGGCTTTCTTTGGTCCACTGCCTCCAGGGAAGGTTATGAAGTATGTCATTTCGCCGCTGAATCATGTCTGGAGACTGGACGCATGTTTTCATGTGGTCTTGGGCAAACGTTTTCACTGGCCCCGCATGAGCGGCTGGTCGCTTTCGTACATCCCGGCCGTAAATCCTGAGCTGGGACAGAGTGACTGGTGTCACTGCACACCGAGGGCCCTGTGTAGGAAGAAAATGCCCCCCTTTTTTCTCTCGGCGACCACATTTGCCCTTACTAGCGCACGACTCAAAGCATCAGCTAAAATAAGACAGGCTCATCTGCTAAACGGGCACACTGAATAGACTGAGAAAGCCCTGTTTTGACTGATACAGCAGCCGACACTCCTGAAATATCATCACTGACAGGAAGATGGAGTGAGAAAACTTCACCCAGAAATGAAAATTCATTTACTCATGTTGTTCCATGCCATTATTCAATCTTCTCAGCTGCAGCTCTCAAATCAAACATGCCACAAGTATGATGACATCACGAGACACGCAAGAACCTTGTCAAATGCTGTTTGGCGTTATGATGTAATTTCAGGGGTACAACTTCAATGGCAGAGGTAATGACTTAAATCCAAGTCTGTTTGTCACATAAAGCTATAAAATGGCTTTAAAAGACGTATTGCACTCTAAAAGGTACATTTGTTAAAAGTAAATAATTAGGTATCAACAAACAAGGAACAACTAGGCTATATTTTACAGCATTTAATAATATAGCTTAATGGTAATTAATAAATATATCATTGTTCATGTCTGTCCATAACCTGAAATGTCAAAAATGTATTAGGACGATAAATACGTATACCAATTATTTGGGAGACTGTTGTCTTCATATACATGCATTAAATTAAATTCAACTGATTGAAAACATCATGCATGTACAACCTGTTGTATGCCTGTTGGGAGATGAGAAAGCAAGCATGAATGCATAAATTAATGCATGGGTTGAAAAAATATTATATTAATATATATTTATAAGTTAACCAATATTAATAAATGCTATAAAATAGAAGAAACCGTTCCTTATTTATTCATAAGACATCATGCATTAATAATCTAAACAAATTGAACCTTAAATGTTGCCAAAATTGCATATGGTTTTGGACGTAAAATTAGTAAATAATGACAGAATTCCATGTTCATTTGTGGTCATCTATTCATTAAAATAAGAAGGAAGAATGGTAGCACTCTAGCAGCACTGACCGGTGTAATTGTCAGAAATCTTCACAGACTTGGAACAAGAGAGAAGGGCCCAATACGGCCTTGTAAAAAAACATGTTTGGATTCATATTTCCAAATTTCATTAGCTGCATGCATGGAGCAAACAACTTGTAGCTCTCCCATGCTCTCAAATTAGGAGCACATTCACACAGACCTTTAAAGTGAGCTCAATGGACGCACATGGTTTGACGAGAGAGAACGGCCTCTTTTTTGGCCAGAGGCTCGCTTTTATGTCAGCGTAACAAAGAGCAGTCGCCCCCGTCCCCATACATTTAAGACCAACATACTGACAGAAATTTGTACAGGCACTGTGCTCGGTCCAACAATGAGATGAACAGCTATTGGAGGAAACTGAACGCAGAGCTAAAGACGAACGCTTGCATATGATTGGCACGACAGAGGGTGTGGTGAAGCAATGCAGGGATGTTGTATAATTAAATAGCAGAGGAGAGACTCTGTGTGTGCATAAGGAAAAACATGTGTGTGAAGCTAATTCGATTTCGCATGGTTTAATGCAGGACCACAAATTAAGCATTTAAAAACATGTCTGCCAATTGCCAGCGAGGCAAGCTGCCATCCATTTTTCTCCTCCAATCATGTAGCTCATAACTCCTAAAATATGTAACCCGGAATATGAGTTCATTCTTATATAACAGGTGCCAGAGTGGGGAGGAACTCCTAATGGCGATATCCTGAGTGCATGTAGCGAGACTTGATGTGGCTGGGACGTCGGTAATGAGCGTGGAGACTGGCTCCGGAGGGTGGCACTTGTACTGTCCCCATTTCCTCTTCTCTCCGGGCCCGAATGAGGAGGCCGGCCAGGCTTAGCAGCAGCGTTGGCTCCCGCCTCAGCCCCTGGCTCTAATTAACCTCCGGGGGATTCGGCGGAGGTCCGCCTGGCGGTGGAGAAACTCTAGGCCACGATTCGTTCCTGAGACTGCAACGCACACTGGGACGATGCTCAGCCAGCCATGCGAAATCTCTAGAAAATAGAAAGAATAGGAAGGAAACGGCAGGGCGCCAGGATCCACAGAAGGTTGAACAAACCATTAAGGGTTTAAAAATGAATTTCTCAATTGAGCCAAGTTAGATGGACAGAGAAGGAGAAAGGAAAGGGAAAAGTTCAGGGATTCAGGTAGAGGGGAAGCAAGATTTTGGCAGCTGCTTTTTCAAAGCCTGATTGGCTGCTTGCGTTTTCCGATTCAGGGAGGACTAATTCGGAGAAGTTTATAGGAGTTTGATGCTATCTCCAGGGCTCCAAAGACAGCTGGACTGTGGAGCAATACACATTGATGCCTTAAAAAACAGGTTAAATTGGGACAGAATGACCTGGGTACGGACTTCCAGCACCTTCAAATCATAAAATACCAATTTATTTGCAGTTTATTTGTCAATTTAATCAATTTCCAATAGTCCAGGACACAGATTTGGTCTCCATTTAAAGAGTTTAATTGCTCAAAAAAACTAAACGTTTCAAGTTCATTGATAATGCACCCAAAAGAACAACCCGTAAAACTTATTAAACATTATTTTTAATGACTATTCCTGTTGCTCCATTGAAAGACTCCATTGTACAAATCCATTCGAATCGAGGGGTTCAAACCAAGTCTTTTGAAATGATACAATAGCTTTATATAATGAACAGATTTTTGCGTGAAATGCACAAGAACCAGAGGTCTGTTGTAGCGTGTGATGCGTTCTATGCATGCATGTGTCAATAAAAGCCAAAATCGATTTATTTCTTCACAAGGTGTGGAAACCGTTCGATACATATGGATTAATTTTACAACTCCTTTATGACCTTTTTGGACCTTCTCAGTTCTGGTTGCCTAGACACTAAATGGAGCGACACAAACCTCTCAGGTTTCATTAAAAATACCTTTATTTGTGCTCGGAAGATTAACCAAAGCTTATGAGTAAATGATGAATTTTCATTTTTGGGTGAACTATCCCTTTAAGTGGACTTGGTCACAGTTACCTCCTACCTCCAAAGTCACAGTTGAACTCCTGCTTACAAACGCTAAGAAAGAAACGCCGTTCCTCGAGTGCTCACGTTCTATGTGGCTGAACTGAAACGGACCAAAGTTAGCAGTCTTCACGCAGGCCACACAAAGCTTATTTATGTTCTAAATGAAGACTGACTGCAGACACAAACATGTAACCCATGCATGCCACATGAATGTTCACTACTGGCACGGCGATGCAGCGCTGGCATGGATCCGGACGGTTGGCACGGCTCTAGTTGCTGGTGTGGTGATGTACAGTGACAGGCCGCCTTTTTTACCGATTCCTGAGCCGTGTGAAGGAGGCTTTTTAGCAGTTCGCCAAGAAAAAGCCATTACAACCCAGTCTGGGAGATGCTAGCCTTGTATCGATATGCATATGGTTATGTGTAAACACTGGACAGGATGTTTAACTGGGAGGAAGAGGAAGTGGACATTTCCACAATGGAAAGATAGGATTTGGCTACACATTTTGCTTCATGTAACACATCACAGTCCTTGTTGTAATAGCAAACAGGAGCTCTTTAGAACCATTATTGGATAATGTTACCCGAGAACATGACTGTTTATCACAATATGATAGCTGAAATCTCAATACTGCCAAAGCTGGCTGCTCCAAGCCTAATCTGGTTGCCAACTGGCTGGAAAGGTGCAAAATAACTATCCAAAATGTTGTCAAACATCTCCTGTAGTGAAGCTGTAATGGATAGTAAAAAATAAAAATAAAATAAAACTTTTCTACGTAATATACAACTTCTATTCGGACTCAAATTAAAAGGCACAATATATTGAATGTGAATAAAAAAAGTGAACAATCCAAAAACCAAAGAGAGAGACCACTGGCATATTAATGACCCATCTGTTTCTCACCTGTTTCTCAGCGTTTACACGAGCAGATTCCTCTTGTGCCAGGACCATTTCTCTCTCGGCCGTGATCTGTACACTCTCACGCAAAGCCTCTTCCAGCTCCTCGATGCGTTCGTCTTTCTGCTGCAGAGAATCCTGTTGGGAAAAAAAAACATGTTGTTAACATTCAACAAAATGCTATCAAGTACAACAGACTAAACTTTTTACTGATACAGATTTTTTTGTAGAATATCAGGTAGAGTTCAATACCTGGACTTAGCTGCCTTTTAAATGAAATTGAATTATATGGTTGTTTTATTTAATCTGACTTTGAAATTGTATTCGATGAGCTTTGTTCAAAGATAGTACACATCGAAACAAGTGTAGCAGCAGGTAGCTCTGAGGAAACCAGTGGCAGTCAGTTCACAGCATGTGAGGTATAAACATTATGAATACTAGGACTGCGGTAACTGAGGGCAACCCAAGCTGTCCGTCTCAGGGACGTGACTCATGTACAGTCTGCTCCCATGATGACACGGCGCAGATCAAGAGTGAAATCGCACACACTCTCTGCTCGGGCAAACGCGTACAACAGAGTCAGGGGGTCAAACTTAGTTAGCGCGAACGCCTGCGATTGATTTCATTGGGAAATTGAAAAAACAGAGGGAAAAATGATGAACAGAGAAAAAGTCAGATTGAAAGCGTGCTAGAGAGCGAAAGAACGCCATGGTTAGGGACTCAAATGAATAGGCATTGTGGGATACGTGGAGAAACGCCAGAGCAGTGCTGAATATGGGAACAGTCTTGAGTTCATTACGCTGCTCCATTTCAAGGAACATTCACATTTCATTTTCCCCCCACATTTCAGAATCGGCTACAAAAGTCCTGACTCGTTTGGCAGACCTGAGGCACTTAGTACAGACCTCTACAAACATGCAGTCTGACGTACACAACAGAGCAAACAGACGCTACACACACATACACACAAACTGCCATTCATTCAAATGAAGCTCTACAGTGGTAATGGCCTCCATGCTGAGAAACTGCCTTCCAGCTAATAGCATCAGCCTTCAATATGAAGACAGAGGCCTGTTGCACACAATCCCAGCGAACATTTTCATCTGGTATCCCACACCACAAATTCCTGCTAAAAGAGGCAATGTGAAGGTATACACATAACCAGATGCATCTGTCACCCTGCTCCAGACAATCCTGAGAGAAAAATCAGGAGGTTTTAAAATGTTTACAAAAATGCAAGCATGCAAAACTAAGCAAATTTTTGTTTGACGTTTACGCATTTGGCAAACATTTTTTGGCATGCATTTTTTAAAATCTAAAGCAACTGCTTTTCGTGCGATACATTATTTTCCAATGCATTTCCAATGCTAATTTGAACCCTTGGTTTAAAGTTACAAAAATGTACATAATATGTAAGTAAGGTATACCTGATACAGAATTCAACTGTTCATCAAATTTTGGCTTAACATGTCTCTTAAAGGGATAGTTCACCCAAAAAATGTTTTCTGAAAATTCTGTCAGTATTAATTACTCACCCTGATGGACCTTCGTTCATCTTCGGAACACGAATTAAGATATTTTTGATTAAATCTGAGAGCTGGATCACTCCTCCATACTAATCCATAGGCTTCTTGAGGGATTGCCAGGCTCAAAAAGTTATTAAAGACATTGTTAAAATAGTCCAAGTGACTACAGTGGCTCAATCTTAAGTTTATCAAGTGACGAGAACACATTTTGTGCGCAAAAACAACATAAATAATGACTATTTCAACTATTCATTTCCTTCTCTTTGGGCCTCTACTCAGTTAATCGTCACACGTAAGCACACTATTGGCCGACGCTGGTCATGTGTGTGATGCGTGTGACATACAACAACAGATCATATGCTGTTAAACTCGAGGCCCAGAGAGAAGGAAATGAATAGTTGAAAGTCATTATTTATGTTGTTTTTGCGCACAAAAGTGTTCTCGTCGCTTGATAAACTTAAGATTGAGCCACTGTAGTCACTTGAACTATTTTAACGATGTCTTTAATAACTTTTCGAGGCCGGCAATCCCTCAAGAAGCCTATGGACTAGTATGGAGGAGTGATCCAGCTCTCAGATTTAATCAAAAATATCTTAATTTGTGTCCCGAAGAGGAACGAAAGTCTTACGGGGTTGGAACAACATGAGGGTGCGTAAATAATGATAGAATTTTCATTTTTGGGTGAACCATCCCTTTGACAGGTCTCAATTTCTTGTATAAAAATCTTTAGAGAACAATCCAAGTTTTGAGCCATTTGCAAAGACAGTAACATGCAATATTGACAGTGAAGATTTTTTTGTTGTTGTTGTTTTCTGATTTTTCTATGCGCTATTATCCAACGCCATTTATATTTCAGGATATACTTTATTCCATTTATTCTCTCGGATATAATTGGGGATTGAATTCGTTCAAAACATTTTGACAACATGTAATTATAAGACTGAACATTTTGTCACTAAAATTCCTTCCAACTATATGCCTCAACTTTTAATATCAAGAGAAGAGGCTTGATGCACACAATCCCAGACACCATTTTCATCATTCTCATCTGGAATCCCACACCACAAATTCCTGCAACAAGAGGCAATGTCGATAACCAGATGCATCTGTTGAATCGGCAGGATTTTTCTGTAACCAAGGTCAGCAATTACAGGAAGTTCAGGACACTAGGAGGGTGATGGGGGTACAGATCACAGCATGTGGTATAAAGGGTCTCTCTTCTAACTTATTTTGACCATATTTAGCTTGCGTTTTCCTCTCGCAGGCAGACCGCAATCACTTTGGTTTGATTTAAAGCGACAGTAATCCTTTTTGCTCGGTCAATATCTCATTACGGTAATGCTTTTGGTGCCAAAACCGCACAGATGATAGAAGGAGACACCTCAGGGAAGCCACAAATCAAAGCCACATGCTGTACTGTAGGGACCGTCCGGGCTCGGGTGGGGCTCGCTGGGGAATCTGCCCAGCTCTCCGCGGCTTGCACAACCAATTAGGAGATGAGCAGGATGAGCCTGAAGAACAAAAGCTCAGCTCTCACAGTTGGGGCAGAATGACTTGCAGCTGTCAAGCATGCTCACTCACACACGAACATTCAACCAGCGGTGTCCTAATTCAACACAAGGTCGTTTTGTTCCCATCTGTGTCTTTTTTTTGGAAGGAACGGAACTGAATAATGTGTTCGTAGAGTCGCAGAACCATCCCAGGACACACGGAGACAGAAACTGACTCAAGCGGTTTCAGCACTTCATTGGGGTGAGGAGTTTAGGTCATAGTAAGGCATTATTTAAAATAACCCCAAAACAGCAGAATGACCTCAGCTAAAAGTCTAAGAAAAGACATGGCCAAAGTGAAGGGTTTGGCAGCAGATGTCCCTAAAAGATGAGATGATGATATACATTTTCCCAGCGGGAGGATTTTTCCGTATCGTTCTAGGTGCGAGAGCGAGGGTTCGCAAATGTTTAAAAAAAAAGAACCGGAATGGAGCAGCAGGTGTCCATCCTTCCTGGCCAGGGAAAGCGTAAAAGACGGCCAAAAGCATGGTAACATCAAACAACATACGCCAACAAACAGGCCCAATAAAAAAAGGCCTTGGAAGTCTATTAAAGAAATGAGAACATGCGGATTTGATTCCCCTACCGCCACCATCTGATCCCGAGCTCCCGATCCTGGATCTGGTTTGAGTTGAATTGGATTTCTGAAATCAAGGAGACTGAGGATGACTATAATAAAATTCTCAGCCAGACTGGACCGTATTAATTAAGTTTTGACTCTTTAGAGTCGAGAGACACAACAAACCCAATGTGAGTTCAGTAGACCAGACGTTGTGAACAATCGCAGGGTAGAACATTTTAAAGGAAGTAGCTGAAAGTGGGCCACAATAAACTTGAGTGCTGTTAATTTGTGAACGCAATCAATAACAAGAAGGCCAGGAGAGGAGGGAATTAAAGTGAGTGACAAGCAGAAAGAAATCTAAGCTTCCATGACGAGCTCAAAACAGGGCTTTGAAACGCTCCCAAGAGAGCTGGATATCAAGCCTCTGGGTGCTGTGGTTACTGCAGATCTGAGCGCTACGAATACTGTTTACTTCACTTCTATAACCTCCTGTGATGTGGTTCTTTGAAGCGAGCCCTTTCCGGCATCTTCCAACTCTATACATCTCTCTCTCACTCTCCCCATTTTACACTGCTTTCCGCATGTTCTACATCAAGATGAAGGCTTGATGTAGGGGGAGTGAGGTAAGATGTGTCAGTGTATAAATCGTGTTATGTCCTAAATTTAAAAATGGTGTATGATTATGATTTTAGAAAAAAAAAAAAAAACATGTTATATGTTATATCAGTCTGCGTTTATATATTCTTTTGTGTTCAACAGAAGAAAGAAACTCATACAGGTTTGGAACAACTTGAGGATGAGTAATGACAAAATGTTCATTTTTGAGTGGCACAGCTGACCCTGTGCTTGCTCTTCAGAGTAAACGTGTAAACACCCATTATGAGGAGTAAAAAAAGATGAGCATCAGGAAAAACATTGGCCAGGTGTGTTAGACCTTTAGGTCTCTCCACCCTCTGCCTCTGGTGGTGGGAAGCTGACCTTTAATTCACAGTCCTGTGATCACTGCATTGAACGATAACGGTTGTCTGGGCACAACGTGTCATAAAACAGGCTCTTCAAAGCATAAAGTCATTATCATCAAAGTATCTCTGCGGGGAAATTCTGCCCTCAGCAGGGAAGCCACTGGGGCAGTATCAAAGACACCAGTTTATGTACATGACAGTGGACCCCAAAAAAACAAAAAACACAAGAGCGTCCCACACGGCCTGAGGCTAAATACTTAGCATACGAAGGAGGAGAAAGACTTGAGATGTAGCAGAACAAAGATGGGTGTAAACAACAAGGCTCTGTGCTGATTGAAGGGGTGGAGGGCCTACAAATGGGGCTGATGGGTATCAGATGGTGCAGCTCTGTGAATGAAAAGTCTTGTTTTAAGCAAGTCAGCTCACTTGGCGGCCATTTTGGATCTGGGTAACACCCTAGGGCAGTTGTTTTCTAGTCATGCAAGCTCAGCTCCTTGCTCCTTAAAGAGTAAAATCCCCCCCAAAGTGTTTGCCAACT